TGACTGCAGGAGGCAAGGACATTAAAAACAAAGAAGAAATTTTAGCCCTTCTCGATGCCATTTGGCTCCCTGCTAAGGTAGCCATAATCCACTGCAGAGGGCATCAGCGGGGCGAGACGCCAATCATTAGAGGAAATAACCTTGCAGACGCAGCTGCGAGAGAAGCAGCCGCGCAAAAAAGGACTGTGCTGCCACTGCTTCCTCTTCCAAACCTTCCACCGTCCCCTCACTACACTGCTGAGGAAGAACAACTCGGAGAAAAGTTAGGAGGAAACAAAAACCAAGCTGGGTGGATAGTTTTGCCAGATTCAAGGATATTTTTACCCCAGGGAGTACTAGGGAAGGTGATACAAGACATTCACACCAGTGCCCACTTAGGTCAAAACAAGCTAGACACGCTAGTTAGGAAATATTACCTAGGGCTAGGATTCAGGGATGCAGTTCGTTCAGTAACCGCTAGGTGTCAGGCTTGTGCTAAGGTTAACGCCCAAAATAAGAGATTGCCTCCATTTATTAGATATAGAGGAAAATTTCCTGGAGAACTATGGGAAATAGATTTCACTGAAATGGCAAAAGGCACGTCTAGATACAGATACCTTTTAGTACTAGTAGACACTTACTCTGGGTGGGTAGAAGCCTTTCCCACCAGAGGTGAGACTGCGTCCACAGTCTGCAAGTTATTAATAAGAGAAATTATCCCTAGGTATGGAATACCCCTAGCCATAGGATCAGACAATGGGCCCGCTTTTGTATCCAAGGTTTCACAAGAACTTGCCACAAGGCTAAGAATTAACTGGAAACTACATTGTATATACAGGCCCCAGAGTTCGGGTCAGGTAGAAAGAATGAACAGAACCTTAAAGGAAACTTTAATGAAATTAAGGGAAGAGACCGGCGGAAACTGGGTTGAGCTACTCCCTTTCGCCCTCTTCAGGGTAAGGTGTACACCTTATGTCAAGACTTGGGCACCATATGAAATTATGTTTGGACAGCCTATTCCTCTAGTTCCCAAACTCACTGCTGAGGAATTAGAACTAACTAACTCTAACTTCCTCAAGTCCTTGCAGGCTTTGCAGAACATCCGCCGTGAGGTGAGAGCTCTCCAGCAGGAGAGATATCCTAAAGAGCAAGGAGCAGAAGCTCCGGAGCCTGGACAGTGGGTGTGGATCCTAAATCATCGAAGGGGGAGTCTCGAGCCCCGCTGGATTGGACCGTACCAGGTACTGTTGAGCACACCTTCAGCCGTGCGAGTGGCAGAAAAACCCTACTGGATACATCTTGCCCACATCAAGCCGGCCCCAACACCTGACGAGAGTGAAAAATGGAGTGTACAGCCAGTTTCAGGGGAACCCTTACGAGTAAAATTCTTCAAATCCTGACAATCCTAGTAGTCCTAGGCCCCCTACTGGGAAGGGGGTTTAGGATCCAAGAATGGGTGCTGATCAGGACTGCTGATGGTACTGTGATTGCCACCAACTATACGTGGGGAGGTGCTCCGGTTTCCCTAAAGACTGATTTCTCTAAGTTTTTTGATGATCGGTTCTGTGACTCCCAGGCGGCCATACCTGTTATGAACACCCTCGTCCCCCGCCCAAGGCAAGTCCCATTCTCCCCCTTGCGAAAACTCAGCCAAAAATTACGGCCTGTGGTTTATTAATTCATACGGGTGCCCCGAGACCACTAGAAAAACACAACTCAGGTGTGGAGGGTTTAGAGAATTCTATTGTAAAGCATGGGGTTGTGAAACCCTCGCAATGGGCTGGACGCCAGGGGGAGGAACAGATAAGCACATAACCCTCCTCAGGGAAAGAAGGCCACCCAAACCTGAGGACTGCCGAAAGGACAACTGTAACCCTACCACCATAACTGTCCTAAACCCCGACGCCCCCGACTGGACAAAAGGCCGTACCTGGGGAATAAGACTTTATATAGAAGGAGAAACTGACCCAGGAACCTTCATTACAATTAAAAGGCTACCTATTGGGAACAGGCCACTACTGAGGGGTCTAGGTGAGGGGCTGCCACCCCGACCTCCTGGACCAGCCAAACCGCCCAGCAGGGTACTTCCCTCAGGGAATCCGTCCCTGACACCTACCCCAACGGAAGGGGAGAGAACTAGCTCAGCCCCCTTACTGACAAGGGGGGCACCGTGGCCCCCAAAGGATGTGCATAGACCACAGGAAAGGACGTCTACCTATGAATTACTTGATAAAGTCTTCCCCTTCCTAAATGAGACCCAGCCAGAAATCACTGAGTCTTGCTGGCTGTGCTTGAGCCCCAGGTCTCCCTTTTATGTAGGGATAGGGATAAACACCTCAGGGATAACATTAGGCACAGTCCCAATCTCAGCTATAGAGAGCTGTGAAGAAGATGGAACATTAACCTTAGATGAGTTCCATGGAAATGGGACCTGCTACATACTAGGAAACTATAATCTCACCTCTTCTAACTATAGCAGTTATTGTTTAAATCAAGTCCACATCACTATCAGCCGGAGTAGTGATCCCCAGTTTCCCAGGGCTCCTGAAGGGGTGTGGTTCATTTGTACCCAAGGAATATTCAAATGCCTGATTCCTACCGGTCCTACCCTGTGTGTTAGTGCATATATTATCCCGCAAGTGTACCTCTATAGAGGGGATCCCACCTTCTTGCTAGAACCACCAAGGCGAGTTAAGAGGAACCCGCTTCTGATCCCCATAATAGCTACCATAGGAATTATAGGCTCGACAGCAGTAGGAGCAGGAGCTTATGTGCATAATGACAATAGCTTGAAGGTGCTTTCCCAGACCTTCTCTAAAGACATTTCCCTGCTACAAGATCAGGTAGTCTACCTAGAAAGGCAAGTCGACTCCCTAGCAGAAGTAGCCCTACAAAATAGAAGAGGGTTAGACCTATTATTTTTCAAACAGGGAGGATTATGTGCAGCCTTAGGAGAAGAATGCTGTTTTTATGCTAATCATTCTGGAGTAATTAAAGAGAGTATTAAAACCCTAACTAAAAGACTTAGAGAAAGAGAAAGTGAACCTGATAGTCCTAACTGGTTTGCCTCTTTATTTAAGACCTCGCCCTGGCTGACCACCCTAATATCAGCGTTAGCAGGACCCTTGATTCTGCTGTTGTTAGCCCTAACTTTAGGGCCTATCATCCTCAAAAAGTTGCTTGCCTTTATAAAAGATAGGGTTAACACAATCAAATTAATGGTCCTGGCTCAACCCTATACCATCCTGCCCCAAGAAGAACAACAGTCAAGGGTTTGACTAGTAACTAGAAAAGGGGGGGAATGTAATGGCCATTAGTAGTGGAAACATAGGGATAGCCGTTAGGCATCTGCAGTTCCTGAGACTGGGTAATAAATAATCCTCCGGGAACAGTTGGGTTCAAAAAAAAAAAGAAAAATTCTAGCCAAATAAGGTAACTAACCAGGGCCCACCAGCAGCAATACCCACCAATTAGAGAGACCCTCACCGTTTTCAATTTAGCAACCTAGCTAATAGCTAACCGCCACATCTGCTTCTGTAAGCCCGCATTCGCTTGCTCTGCCCTATAAAAACCCCATAGTTTGTAAGCCACGTGCGGCTTCCATGTTGTAGCTCTGAGAAGCTACCTGACTCCCCAGGGGGGGAAGGAAGCCGCCCCTGCGCAGGTAAAAAACTTTTGGCCAATAAATACCATCATAAGCTCTAAGTTTCTGGATGTCTGATTTCTCGCCCATCGAATGCAACATTCAGAGGGAAGGTTTGCAAAAAGGATTGATAAGCGAAAGCAGGCTCGAACCGGCAGGCAATCTAAACAGATGTCTCAATAACAGATTTTAACTCTGAGAGGTCTTGCCCCGGCCCACCTAATCTGGCCCTGAATGCTCTCTCATTTGCCGCTCCGGTCTGCTCCGTGATGTTCAGTTTCTCCAGCCGATCACGTGCCACCTCTGAGCTTTTAGCCAACTGTTTTTGCGTTCCCATGCACCCCTCGAATACTCTCCTAGCCCCCTTTCCCTGCCTTTCCTCTCAGAGCCCTATCGATGCCCTCTGTTTGGAGACACCCTCAGCACGCCCCCTTGGACCCCCGCCCCCGCGCGCCCCTGCCGTTTGTGCACGTCCCGCGCTGCCCACAGCACACGGAACCCCCAGCTCCGGCTCCTCCGGAGGACCTGGGGCCGCGCCCACTGGGAACTGGCCTGGAGCAACGCCCCTGGCGAGGCCCGGGGACCTGCGGGTCCGCAGCAGGGGGATGGGCCTGAACCCCGCCTCCCGGAGGAAGGGCCGGCTCCGTTCCCCTAGGTCCCACGGGTCCTCCCCTGAACCGGCCTCGGCCTCGGGAACAGCAGGTATGGGACCAGATGACAGTCAGCACTCGGCTGTTCCCCAGCTGGGGCCCGCGGGAACGGGGCCCCTCCTAACTGAGCCGCGGGGCCGCCGGCGCCCCACAGAAGTCACCATGTGGCCTTCAGGACCCCTTCCTGTGGGCGTTGGTTGGTTGTGTGAAACGCCTGTTAACCAGAACGAGTGAATATCTCGGAATGGTCGCTTACGGTTAATTTAATGAAAGCGATATGCTTAAAAAAATCAAAGCTATATGCTTAAAAAAAAAAAAAAAAGGCGTGCACAATCTACCCTCCCACTGCGATTAAGGGGGAAGCGGGAGGGAGGTGGCAGTCCCGGGCAGGTAGAGTTAAGGCGGCTGCGTCTTGCGGAAGCCTCCGCCCTCAGGTTTAGTCCCAAGGTTTCTACAGTCTGGGACAGACGCCTCTGACCTCCTCATCCTCTCCGGTATCTTGACCCCAGGGACGCCAAAGCCTCTCCTTCCCAGAGGAACTGAGCCCTCCCCAGCATCGGGTCCTACACCCCCTTCATTCACTCACGGAGAAACGGATCACAGAGCAGCCGGCCTGCCAGATTGGGAATAGGGCTCCCAGCCCACCTTCACTCTGGAGGTGACCATCTGAACCCCCCTCCCACGGAAGGCAGGGGTGGTTTAACTAGTATTTTTTTCCCTTGAAATAGAACCAGTGGGATCCCAAGCGTTGGTCCAGGTCTCGCCAAAGCAGCCAAAGCAGGGGCCGCCAAAACTGGGCAGAAGCCTCCAGAAGGGGTAAGGCTGTTTGCATGGAAGGACCGGGTCCCTGGGTGGTAGAGCCCTTCAAAGAATGGGCTTTGCCGGCAGTTCCAAAAAAACAAATCCTGGTGGAGTTTCTGTGCGGAGCAGCCTCCCGCCAGCCCTGTAAGGAGAAGGCGGGTGTGGTCGTAGCAACAGAGTGCGACCAGGCCCGGGGCTCGCTGGCAGGAGATGTCTCTTGCAGCGACTTCTGGCCACAGGGCCCCTTCCCCAGAACCCTGAGAACAGAAGTGGTTTGGAAGGCCTTTACGATATTGCCAGTTGGTAACTCGTGAATGATGCAACCAGTGTCCTCAGTTGGCTTTCATCAGAAACATGGTTTGCTTCCGTTTAAAATTCTGAGGGGCTGAGAGTTTCCGGTGGAGCTATACTAAAAATGACAGCCCCCACTCGCCACGTCCTATACAGAAGAGTTCAAGCTGGAGAGAGAGAGAAAGTGCCCTGTTGGGTTGGTAACAAGCCAGTATAAACACGTGCTTCCTCATTTAACCCTCTTGACAATTCTGTGAGACAACTGTTTCCGTCTGTTTTATAGACAATCGAACTGAGTTCCGACAGGTTAACTTACCAGCTCAAGTTCGGACCAGTGTCAGAGCCAGGCTTTAACCCCAGGTCTCTCTGGCTTCAGTGTATTTCAGTCCAGAAAGCATATTCTTGGTCTCAGTTTCAGACTTCTGCAATATTTTTTAATCCAAAGAGAAAATATCCCAACTTCTGTCACATTGCTTGTGGTTTCAGTGTGGTGGCTCGACTCGATGTCTTGGAAATGTGTACCTAACTGTTGGAAGGAACAGCTCGGCACTTCAAGGGCCCGCCTGTGGCAGGAGGACCTGAGTGACAAAAGAGCACCCAGGCCTCTTGCCTGTCACTATAATCCACTATATACGGTTATCTTTTTTTTAAGCTATATGCCAGTATCATTTTGATAAAGTTTTACAAAAGATTATTAGCAAATAAAAAAAAACACACCTGAAAGCTACTTATTATTATCAGTAGCATTTTAGAACAATTGACTAAAACGCACTGACTGGCAATTATTTTGTGTGGCAGTGAACCGTATCGCAAAAGCAAGCTTGAGGGGAAGTATTTCCTAGACTCTCAAAACCGAAAGCTCTCCTAGAACCACGAGTCTGAAGTAACACAGGATTTCCAGTAATCGTGAAGAAGTGTTCTTTGTTAACTATATGATCGCCAAATCCATTTAGGGAGAAGCCCGGGGTTAACGTGGAGACCGCACCCACCCAGAAGAGAACTGTGTCCAGCTTGTCCCTGAAGTCGGAGACCCCAGGCCAGTTAACAAAGCCAGCGGGCAAGGTGCGTGCGGCAGCTCCGGTGACTTCTTCCCCACACACTGGATTTGGCTTTAGTTAGATTGCGTGGCAGCTTGAACTGCATGCTGATTTGGGATGTTGGCTGTGCCTTTCTAATGTTTTAAAAATAGCTTTATTGAGCTCCATTGAGGTATAACTGACATTCCTACATCTGGTGTACAATAAACCGCACATATTTAGAATAGACAGCTGACTATGTTTTTGATATACGTATATACCCGTGAAGCCGTCCCCACAACCCAAACTCCCTGTTCTCCTTCGTAAGTCCCCCCACCTCCCCACGCCACCCCAGCCCCAGGCGGCCACTGATCTGCTTCCTGTCACTATAGAGTCATGTGTATTTCTAAGACACTTATATAAATGGAATCCTATCATATGGGCCCTTTTTAGTCTGACTTCTTTCTCATAATTTTACGTAATTACTTGGAGTTACAGCCATGTAGCTCATTCCTCCTGACTACGGAGCCGGAGCTCTGGTGTGGATACTTACCTTTCTGTTCACTGGGTTGTTTTCACTGCTTGGCTGTTACAAATGAAACTATTACGGACGTTTGTGTGGAAGTCTTTGTATAGACATATGTTTTCTCTTGGGGGGTATCCGTGCACATGCTTTCAGTTTAATATTTTATGAAATCATTTTCTGCAGCACACTGCAGAAAGTTACCGCCGCCTCTGTCACCTAGGGTGGCTGTCGCCGTCCTTTAAGACAGAAATGTATATAGACCTGCATTTTTAACGGTGGGCTTGGGGATCTCATTTGATAGCACCATAGGCAAAAATGTGGTAAGAGAGGAATAGGGTTTTACTCAGTAACAGTGAAACCAGGACACTATAGCCTTACTTCTCTGACATTCTTTCTCCAGCAGAGATCTGGGAGGACAGTCTTGGCCCACGGGGTCCTCATGGACTATCGGGGGCGGGGTGAGGGGAGAAGACAATAAGAACCTGCATTCCAATGTGAGAGCAGCAACATCGCCACTCCCAGCATGACACCTGGTGTAAGGTTAATACACAGGTCATTCACTTTCCCGCTTTAGGGTTTAGGACCAGAACCTGCCCCGGTGCGGCCCTTCAGGCTGTTCTGTTTTCCTCTTCCCCCAACTCAGGCCTGTGTGCGTCTTTCTGAAGGGTGTTCACTCTTCACCTTCTGGAAGGTTGCTTGTTCTGCTGTGCCATTTCAAAACCCTGGATGCACCCCTTAGTCACTTAGCTCCTTGTTCTTCTGCATTCGCCAAGCCGCCCACACACCCTTGAAAACACACAGAATCACTCACTGCTTTGTGCAACCGGGTGAACGGATGACAAGATCAGGCAGACAAGAGATTTGTGTCGAGCTCAGAGCACGTAAGGAACGCCAGCGAGCTCTTTTCCTCCGACGAGGCCTTAGAGATTGCTGGCCATGGACAAGGGGCCAGACCCCCACCGCCCACATTCTCTCCTCTTTTTCTCTGTACCTATACATCGTCTCCAACTGCATCAAGACCACTCCCCTTCCCTGCTCACTCGGTACCAGCCAGGACAGCTTCCTTCCTGTACTTCTGATGAACCCAAGTCTTTCCTTCCTCAGGGCCTTTGCACCTACCAGATTGCACTTACTGTTGTTATGGACTGAATCTATGTGTCCCCCCCTTCCCGATCTATATGTTGAGTCTCTAACCCCAAGTATGGCTGTCTTTGGAAGACATGATGAAGGTTAAATGAGATGGTAAGGGTGAGGCCCTCATCCGAAAGGATTAGATTAGAGACTCCAGAGACTGGCTCTTTCTCCCTCTCCACACATGCAAAAAACAACAAGAACAAAAAAGTCACGTGAGCACACAGCAGGATGACAGCTGCACACAAGCCAAGAGAAGAGGCCTCAGAATGAGAACTACCCTTCTGGCACCTTGATCTTGGACTTCCAGCCTCCAGAATGGTGAGAAAACAAGCTTCTGCTGTTTAAGGCGCCCGGCCTTTGTATGGCAGCCGGAGCAGACAAACACAGGCCTCTAGGCAAAGGCCGACTCTGTGCTTTTGAACTTGGCCCCTCCCACTTTGTCAGGACCCCTGGGCAGCTGATCACTCTTCTTTTTTGCTGCCATCTTCGACATTCCTCTTTCTATCAGAGCTTCACCAGCAGAACTTAACAGGTGCTGCCGTCTTGCCCAGCTTGAAAATCCCCTCTCTTCACCCCTTGTTGCTCTTCATTCCCACCTAACACCTCTCTTCCCTTTCACAGCCAATACCTTGAACCAGGTGCCCACCCTTCTGGTCTGCATTCCTCTCGCCCCATTTCCTGTCTAGCTTATGCCAAAAAGGCCTGCCCTCCAGCATATTAAGTTTTGGGGTCACCATGTCAATGTACTTTTTATAAGGTGCCTACTGGTATTTCCAGGGGTGGGGGGGGTCTAATTTATGGATCCATTTGATGCATTGCCACCTTAATGTGATAGTTTTCAAGTCCATGAACGTGGAATGCGTTTTCATTTATTTAAATCATCTTTAATTTCCTTTAGCCAAAATAATGTTGAAAAAAGAGCCAAGTAGTTTAAACAGCTCCACAGAACAGCAGGGCAACGCGGATGAGCCTCAACACCCTTCTTCCCAGTGACAAAAGCCAGACACAAGAGACCCCATGATATGTGATTCCATTTCTATGCAATGCCCAGAAAAGGCTAATTCGTCGGGACAGAAAGTAGAATGGTGGTTGTCTGGGGCCCGGGGGGAGGGGGAGGGGAAGAAAGGCGAGTGATGGCCGATGGGTATAAGGTTGCCCCGGGGCCGGGGGCAGGAAGTGGGTCTGACCACAGATGGATTGAGGGATCTTTTGCGGATAATGGACGTGTTCTAAAATAGGCCTCGGGTGAAGCTTGCACAAATGCTTGAGGGTATAAAAGTCATTGAACTGTACACCTAAACTGTGCGTTGGAAGGGTTGTCCATTATATCTCGGAGAAGGTTAAAAGAAACAGGGAAAAGCCCCTTTCACTTCCGTGATCTCATGCCCCGGCAAATGCCCGTCCTCACCCAGGCAAATGAGGCTGGGACCTGGGAGGAGAGCTACAGCCTCGCAGAAACCAGACCACCTGGGGAGGTGGTCGCAAACTCGGGGGCAGCGACCACCACGATCTTGACGGCGGGAGGGGCGGTCCCTGCCTCTCTGCCTGGCTCCTGCCTAGCCTGCCTTCTTCTCCCAGCACTGCCCGGCACAGACAGTTCGGGAGGACGAGCAGTGTGGGCATCAGAACTTTGCATGTTTATGTTTCCATGGTGCTGAGCACACTGCTGGAGTAGGAGGGATGAGGGATATGAGCTTCTTTTTTCTCCTAAATTTGGGTTTACAGTGGCCACAGCTCTGGGATTGCTTTTCTCTTCTTTCTTTTTTTTTAAATGGTGCTAAGGGCACTTACCATGGGACGTACCTACCCTCTTAAACTTTTGAGTGCACAGTAGTGTGCTTTGCACACGCACTGTCTCTCAGACGAGCGGGCTGTCTCCCCCAGGCCTCGTTGGAGAGTAGTGGCACTCTGGGTCCAGTCAGGAGCTAGAAAGCACACAGCAGGTTAAACAGGGGGGAGTGGGGGGAAATGTAAATAATTATTAAGATACCAGGAAGCTTGACAGGGCCTCCCAGGGCTGAGGACCTGGAGGGCACTCGAGGAAGGACAAACTTGGAAGGGGTCCAGACCTCACTGGAGAGGTAAGGCCCACCCCCTGGAGAGCAGGAAGTTGGTTTGGCCAGGCTGCAGGTGGTCTCCAGTTGCTGGGCATGTGCGACCCTCTGGAATGTAGGCAGCGAGCTGGCTCCCAGCAACCCAGGGGGTGGGGGACCCTCTGGGCCACAGGAGGTCCATGCAGGATACCTGCAGAGGGAATCCGGAGGCCAGCAGGGGCAGGGGCAGGAGACTATGGGGCACTTTGTCCATCAAGAGGACCCCAGAGAGGCTGCAAGGTTATGGGGGCAGAGGGATCGGGGCTCAGGCAGACCTCCACCAGGTGTCTCCGCACTGGCACCACTAATCATGGCCCCCTCCCCCAGGGCAGGACATTGCCAGGGAGCCCCTTTCTCTTGCAATGTCCCTCTAGCGCCCCCTATTGAGAAAGCTTAACCTGGTGCTCAAAGTCCAGGAGAAATGCTTACCGCAGTCCAGTCATCCACGCAGGAGGTATAAGGAGGGCGTGATACCTGGAGACCGACACAGCCACTAGTCTCACTGCCTTTAGTGACGAGGGTGACAGCAGGAGGGGAAGGACCTTTGCTCCTTTGCGTGAAGAGGGTTTTCTCCAGCCTGGATTTCTGGGCAGAGATGGGACGCAGGGCCTTCAGGCCGAGCTGGAGCTGGTCCCCAAACAGCGTCTCTGGAACCCCTCGGGCACGCGCCTTGTCTTTATTGCTATATTCCTTCCCATCACAGGGCAAACCAAGACCCCAACCTGGAGACCTGATTGAGATTTTTCGGATCGGCTATGAGCACTGGGCCATCTACGTGGAGGACGACCGTGTGGTCCACCTGGCGCCCCCGAGTAAGACCCTCTGCTGAAGTATCTATGTTTCAGTTAGCAAAGGAAAGAGACGCACAGTTCATTATCGTGTGCCTCGGCCGCTGCCTTGCTTTAGCAGTAGAACACCCCGAAGCGTGACTAGACCTCACTTTGCCATGTGATAGAGCTTGGTCTCCGTCTACCAGATGCCACTGCGTGTCCCGCCCAGGCCCCTGACCACCCAGACCTCCCTTTCCTCTCGGTGTCAAGTTTGAGAACCTGAGCCTCCATCCGCGCAGACGGCACTTCCACATCCTTCCTCCTGTTCCTGAGGCGGCCCAGGGGGGTGCGGTGCTTCCCTGCGCTGATCGCCACTTGCTTCCTGTTGCCCCCAGTGCTGCTTCCGGCTTCCTCACCACCTTGGGCACCACCCTCCACCCTCACCCGGTCGGCCAGCTCTTCCCTGCCTGACCCAGGCTGCCCCACCCCCAGTGTGGACACAGCTCTCCTTCCATTCCCCACGGCAGCGTTAACACAAAGCTGAGGTTAGACCGGTGGCTGATGAAATGGTGGCAGAGGTTTGATGATGACAGGTTGGCGGTAATAGAAAGCTACAGCATAGAATGGGAAATACTATAAAACTGGCCACCCAGAGCCATTGGTCAGAGTGTCACCTCAGGAGGTAGGGCCTGGGGAAGCTGGGGGAAGGGGAAGGAGGGGCTCCAGGGCACTGGATGCCTTTTGGGTTTCATGTTAAATTACAGAAGGCCACTGGCCTGCCTGCCTCCGTTGGCCCACCCCCTCTCCCTGCTGGGGCCTCCCACAGAGCATCCCCTCCCCCACCCCGCACTCCCTTCCCCATCCACTCACACCCTCCCCCACTCCCAGCCTGGAAGCCCACTTGTATGCAGAACAAAGAAGGTAGAAATTGCTTCGCATTACATTCCCCTCCATCTCTCCCTTCCAGGAGCCTCCCTCTGGTACGACCAAAGGGACTGTTAACCGTCACAACCTCGCCCTCCCCGTCAGCTCTTTCTCTAGAAATGACTTCTGCCATCTCTTCCCGCAAGCTGAATTGCCTACTGCCAGCTTTTAGGAAATCGGCAGCTTTTCCTCAAATATGGAAGAGAAGAGCAAGGGGCGTTGCTTGCCCTCAAACAGCTTACAAATGGGGAGGCCACACACGTTTGCGGAAAAACAGCCCTGGTTTTGAACTGCCACTCACCTTGGGCAGGTTCCTGACCCTCTCTGGGCCTCTGTCTCCTCTAAGGACTGAATACCATATACAGCAGCTTTGAAACATTTCTTTTTTCAAAGCTGTGGGACCCTGTTTTCAAATAAACCCTTTATGGAAACCCCAAAATCCGAGCAGAGAGAGAGGCAGGCTGGCTCTGGGTGGAGGCTGATGGCAGCGGGTCCCACCCAGGGCTCCCGTCTGCTCGGTCCCACCTGCGCCTCCGCGGCGGCTACAGGCGGAGGCACGTCATGGACCCACGTGCCAGCCCCTTACCCAGGAGCCCACGCTTACACTTACACGTACGGGTGCTCGGCACACGTGTGTGAAGATTCCTGAAGTCTGGCTAGGAAAGCGAGACTGCAGTCATAGGACTTGGTCACTCGGTCAGCCCAGCCCAACACGGTGCAGTCGGGGGCCACACCGCAAGGCGCTGGAAGAGTTTCAGGAGAAAGACATGGCCGAGGGAGGTCAGAAGTGGCCGGGCAGAGGCTTTCCGGGGAAGCTGGTCCTTTGCAGCTCATTTAAGCCAACTCCCCATCCTGGGCCATGCCTTTCATAGATGGAGAAACTGAGGCCCAGGGGGTGGCAGCTGACCCAGCACCTGAGAGGGGGCCGGCGCTCTGCCCTTGCTGTCCCTCAAAGCCCTCCAGCTTCTGTTTGCCTTTGGCCTCCAGGTGAGGAAGTGGAGGCCGGCAGCATCACCTCCATCTTCAGCAACCGGGCTGTGGTGAAGTACAGTCGTCTGCAGGACGTGCTGCAAGGCTGCTCCTGGAAGGTCAACAACAAGCTGGACGGGACGTACCTGCCCCTGCCCGTGGACAAGATCATCCAGCGCACAAAACAGATGATCGACAGGACGGTGCAGTACAGTCTGATCGAAGGCAACTGTGAGCACTTCGTCAACGACCTCCGCTACGGCGTGCCCAGGAGTCAGCAGGTGCGGCGCGGACGGGGGCTCCTGGCGCGTCAGAATGGCGATCGGTGGTCCCGTGTTATTGTTGCCCCGGTGGGGCCTTCTCTTCTGCAGGACTGGACCGTTCTCCATCGCTCCTAAGCCGTGGAGGAGTAGAAAAGGCAGTGGGCTGCGTAGCCAGACCACCAGTGGAGTCCAGTCTGGTTGGCCATCGCCTGGCCTGGTCCCCCTGGTCAAGTCATCGTATCTCTGAGACCGTCCCTTCCTTTACAACATAGGGATAAACCAAGGTCGACACTTTATTGCTGAAGTCACAGACTACCAGCCTGTGCGCCACATCTGGCCCACAGACGTGTTCTGCTCCGATGACTAGCATTTTTTTTTAAATTACTTGCCAACACTTAGACATATAGACATTTGTCCCTCCCCACGCTGTCCCTCCCCACTGGCCCTCGCTTTCCGCACCCTCCTTCTTTGTGGTCTGGTCCTCTCCCAGCCGCATCCTCCTCTGGTGAGGCCTGGCCCGGTGCTGGGGGCTTGGTGGGCGCCGATATGGCGGACCTCCCATCCCATGGGCGTTTGGACATGAAAAGAAGGCCCCAAGGGTCAAGGGATTATAAGAGGCCCTTGCTCATCAGAAACCTGGGCCCGAAGCTAAGCTCAGACACTAATTTGCTGTGTGACATAGTCCAAGTGAGTTTGCCTCCCTGGTCTCGGGTTCCCTGTATATAGAACGAGGGCCTCTGTGGTGGTGCTACTCTGAGACCCTTGGCCTCTGAGCCCCACCTTGGAGTCCGGCGCTAGACTGAACAGCTCTGAGGAAGGCCAGGGACCAGGAGCCCAGTGCCCGCCTCCCCACCTGGGGCAAGGGAGTGCGCCTGCCTCAGGTGGCCGCCCCGGCAGTCCGGGCTTCTCTCGGTCTCCTGCAGCTCTGGGGTCCTTGGAAATAAGGAGCACAGGTGGCTTCCTGCTCTGGGGAAAGCCTCCAAGCAGGACAGCTCCTGAAGGGGAGCGGCGAGGTCGGGGCAGGACGGGGGCAGGGTGGGGGTGCGAGCCTAGGGTCCTCACTGAGCTCCCCACGAACCGATCGGCTTTGCAGGTGGAGCTCGCCCTGATGCAAGGCATGAAGGCTGCGGGAGCCATGATCTCGGCTGTCGTGGAGAGCATGAGGCCCAAACCAGCAACCGGCTGAAAACACCAAGCAGAGGACCAGCTCCCGGCGTCCACAGGGAGACTGACCATTCCTCCTTTCTCCTTTCAGTGGCCCCTAAGAAAACTGTGAGCTTCTGGAAGAGCCTAGAATGTATCCAATTACCCCTTAAGAAACACACCCAATATATGTGATTAGATCCATGGACTCTCAGGGTGGGAAGAATCTAATTTATTATGCAACTGTTAGGCACCAGGTACTGTGCGAGGCATTTTCTACACTAACTGGGTCGTTCTACTCTCTTCATAGGAAAGGGTCTTACTTGTTTCTTAGGCTGAACCTAATCTGTGATGCTTGAATACCGTCTGATACACCCTGCAAACCTCTGTTGGAATGTCCCCAGTAATGAAGAACTCTTTTCTGGAGCTCTTTTTATTGAACTAAAATGTCTGTAGCTTTTCTGGATTGTCCTGGTCCTGCCCTAACTGACCCACAGTGTGGATCGAAGGAGGCGGAATCTAAGAAAGCCTCTAGCTCACCACTCAGGGCCAAGGGCGCCCCATCTGGGAACACCTTTCTTTTTGAAATTATACATCAGCTTTATTCCTTGTTTAAACCACCCCCCCAATTTAAAGAATAATCAGCTAGACCATTTATCTTGCTTTTCTACCTTAAAAGAACCAGAAAATTTGAAATTGCTATTTTCATTGATTTCAAGTGACTATTTAGAATAACCTAAGCAACAGACCTCTATCGTGTGAATGAGGGAAAGGAAAAAGGGACTTTTGTGTCTGGGAGAATGTTGACAGGACGGAAGATTTAAATTACGATTGCGATTATCAGTGCCAGCTGGGAGCTGAAACCACCCAGTCTAGGGGCGGGCTCTCAAAACCCCTGGCAGATGCGAAGACCGTGGGAAAGAGAAGACAGAGCCGTGGGATCTGTTAGACTCTCCCGTGAGCCTCTCTCCCCTTTGGAGAAAATAGACCTGCAATGGTTTCCCCTCCATTCTTTTCTTAGCAAAATCCACCTTGACTGGCTCCTTAGACCTCAGACACCGGAGTCTGGGTGTGTGTCTGTGACTGTCTTCCAACTGCCCTTCTCGCTCTCTGCTCAGCTCTGGTGCTGGAGGTGAGAACACACCCTTGTCTCTGAATCTTCCCCAGGACGGGCCGCTGACTCCGGCTCCCCGGCACCTCCTCCCCACCTGCCGGGAGTCAGTCCAGTTCCCCGTGCCTCTCCCTGCAGTCTCTTGGCTCATCACACAGCCTGGGGTGAGACTTCCTGGGAAACATATGGGTATATACCAAGAATTTATATTCCATAAAGGACATTCCTTTCGGCTTTGAACTAATTCAGTCATGTATTAGTGACCCTTTTGGTCAGAACCGGACTTTGAACTCACAGGCCATATTAATTATTAATCACACAAACTGGATGTTATTGATTTAACAAACCGCTACCCCACACCAAGGAGTGTTGGTAACTTCTAATCAAGCGACTCATCCATGCCCTGCTTGTGTTTAGGACAGAAAGATACTTCTCTGGCTCCTTTCCCGTTTGGACAGAGACCCTGAGGAGCATATCAGGACCCATGTTCACTCCTCCACCCAACAAACATTTTTGAGTGTCTGCCAAATGCCACACCTTGGCTCTCCCGCCTTCGCCTGAACCCACCAGCAGGGGTCAGGGATGGCGGGAGAAGTTCTGAGTCGGCGGGGAGGAGCGCGGGGCAGACAACCCTCTCTCCCTAAACCCTCCTACTTGGCAGATGAGGAGCCGAGAGGCATTAACACCCGCTGCAGTTTCTGCCTTCCAGGTCGAAAACGGATGTCTCTGCTTTAAGTGGGACCACTGGGGGAGCCTTTTTTGGTCTTGTGGATACAAAGCACATCCCCACTAGTGGTGGGGGGCGGTATAGACGTGAAGGGTAAGTAATCGGAATGCGCGTTTCTGAGATGTTAAATACTGGTCTCTTGTTTGTGCGCTTCTTTTTTAGTGTTTATTTCTTTTCACTTTGGGGGGATGGGCGAGTGGGGACCCTGGTGATATTGGCACGTCACAGGGACCGACCGCCAGGGAACTTGAACGTGCCGAGTTCCTCAGTGGTAGGCAGGCCCCGTATCGGCGACACAGGAGCTGGATGTGTTGCTTCATGCTAGAGAGGGTGGCTCCTGGCAGCACCGAGTAACTCTGCAGAGGCCGAGATGATGACGAAGGGGCCAGGGTTTGCCGGCCAACACACCAGCAGTGGGGAGTGGGACACCTGTCTGCCAGCAAGGCCAACTGAGTAAAGGGACACACGCCCCACCGCTGGGGCAGCTGGCCGGACACGGTGGGGAGGAGTGGACAGCGGGGAGCCCCCTGGGACACGAGGAATAGAGATAAGCTGCTCCCCAGCTCTGGGTTTTAAGTGTTTGGCCTGTGCTCATATTATGCTTTCATTATTCCCCGGTCTCCCACTGAGAAGGGGGTGACGGAAGGAGCGGTGTCCACAGTTGGCAGCACCCGGGAGGGAAGCGCTCAGAGACCCCCGGGGAGGGCCCTGGACACAAGCAGACCAGAGGAGCTCCGTGTCCACTCACGTCCTCCAGAACCTGAATTTCCTGGAGCTGGGTGCAGGAGAGCTTGGTTCAAAAAGTAAGATTTGACACGGAAGGATGACTTCAGAGCCTTTAGGATTTGGGCTTGTATGACTCATGGTCAAGTGCAAGGTAAGGTCAGGGGCACTGGATCATGGAGCATTTTGACCCCCAGGCTGTTCTCTGTTAAAACGGCTCCCACTTCAGCGGAACAATACGTGTTTACACAAATTCTAAGAAGGCTCTCAGTCACTTGAAGTTCTGTTCTGACAAAGTTCCCGTTCTCAGCACTTTGGAAACAGACCGTAGAGCTTCACAGACACTTGAACGAGAAGGCAACTATTGGGGACCCCACGCTGCTTCGAGATCCTGAGGAAGTGGTTTGGGGTTTTTTTGTTTTTGTTTTTGTTTTGTTTTGCTTGATTATGGTGGGTAATTTTTAAAAAGATTTTTGGTAATCCAGATTCAGCTTAATAGGTTACATATAAAAATATTAATTTTTATGTTTGTTTTCACAAAGATTGCTAAAGTTCAACATCAAAGTTGGAGCATATCCGGTTTATAGCAGTGTGGAAGGTGCTTTGGAAATGAGGAATTTTGGGAGCTTCTACTGCCCCTTCCGAAGGAGGGCTTTTGGAAGGAGCTCCTGGAGGCCGTAGCTCCCTTGTCTTTTCATCTTGGAAGATGGCTCCCCTCCGCTTTGCCTGAACCCACAGCTGCCCCGAGATCAAGGCAGCAGTGAGAAGTGCTGAGTCAGAAAGATGGGGAACCCGTGGCTTTGAGGGATTTGCCAGAGCAGTGACTTCCACACTTTACATCGTCCGCAGAATCCTCTCTTAAGGCCTGATGTGGTCAAGCCACCCAGACAGAAAAGGGATAAAAATGTAGCTGGGCTCTGGGGGACCCGGGGCCCAGGGCTTCACGCCGGCAGCAGAGGGGTGTCTTCAAGACCGGAAGTGCTCCAGCACGCGCTCTGCCGACAGCTGGTGGGAATGACAACACGGATGACAATAGTGACATCCACGAAGTGTTCACGCTCTTCCGGGCGCTGTTCTAAATGCTTCGATCACCCTGTGGTTTTACGCACTCACTGTCTTCATCACAGGCCCCGTGGCCCCTTAAACAGGTGCCCCCACCCACTCAGCTCTAACCAGTCCTTCAGGCGGGTAACTGTCTATTGCACAAACATCTCCACTTGGCATAATAAGGAAATTGAGGTCAAGAGCGGCTTTACAATGAACCCACAGATAAACAGGGGAAGAGGGTACTTGAGGCACAAAGATGCTTAATATTAAGGGCAGTTCGGGCAGGGCAGCAGGAAAACGGTCCTCTCATAACCGCTTGCAGGTTGTTGACGGAGCTGCCTCTGGGAGCTCACACTCATGCCGACTGCTCTGCAAGGCCGGGCTCAGCTGAGCCTGGTCCCTGGAGAACCTACACCCAGACTGGGCACACGAGGACCATGGCAGACAGAAGGCACTGAAAGAAGCGTGGGAAGAGGCTTCTGCTGCGTGATTGGCCTGTCGTTCTCCAAAGATGGGGAGACCACGTCCTAGAGACCTCTGGAAGCCTCATCTCTCTCAGTCAACTCTTTTAAAACTTGCAATACCTGACGATTTAGTCAGGGGCACTGGCCTCTTTTCCCTTAGATTGTCGAATGTAAAAAATGACCACAGCCAACACAGTAATAGCCATGCAGTGTGAATGAATCAAAGTTACACCCACTTTTTTTTATCAGATCAACAAAAAATATTTTTTGTGTGCCCCAGAATTTTAGTAATTAGTTTAGGCCATGAGATGAAAAAGGCTGCAAATCACTGCCCCAGACAGTCCCAGATCTGCGTTAGGACTCTCTTAGTGCCCGGGGCTGGGAAACTCAACAAAGTAGCTTAAGCAGAGTGAGAAGTTGACCGGTTTAAGACACTGTCGAATTCTGGAGAAGGGGAGAGTGCAGCTGGATTTAGGGCTTCAGGACACCAGCTCAGAATGACGTGAGGCCCCAGTGAGAGCCCTGTGATTATGGTGGAGAAATGGGCAGGAGTCGGTGGGCAGACACGGCAAAGGACCACCGTACACTGTGTGGGCTTAGATCCTTGCTCTCCTTCCGACGGGACCCAGAACATGCTCTCGTGCACAAAAGCCAACCCCCCTGTCCAGACGCAGGCGGAGATTCTGTCCTGTGGAGTGAGGCACCTGAGCAACCCCTGTTAGCAGGTTCCCCCCTCCCCTTAGGTTATTCCATAAGAGATATATGTTTGGGGGCTCGTGGTTTTCTGGGTTTCATCTCAGTTCAGCATTGTAGCGGGTCTACTGTTGCAACTCAGGCCCCAGGGACGCAGACTCGGAGACGGAGGTTTGTGGACGTTGCGTTTACTATTCGGGGAGTGGAGGAAGCAGAATTCGGCAGAGGGAGAAGGGGAACTGGGATGGGGTCACAGCCGAGGCCTCAGCCAGCCAACAGCGAGCTCCGGAGCTGCGGTGGCCTTGAGGGACCGGCCTTTACAGCTCTCCGTCTGCTGTCTGTGGCCCTGGCCCGCCAACGGGAGGGGGTAACCCCCCCAGAGGGGAACTCAGGTGGGAGCTGTCAGCCATCAACACTGCCAGCGGCTGGGGGAATTCGGCCGGCCCTCCTCCCTGCAGACGGGGGAGACGGCACCTTGCACGTGGGGGCAGAACCCAGCGCTTTGCAGCACACCAGCCATTCTCTGTGTGAGTGTCCAGGGGGTTCCACGATAAAGATGCAGCCACAGGTGGAGACAGACAGCCGCAGGTGGAGACGGACAGCCGCAGGAGGGAAACCACAGCCTCACCATCCTGGGCGCCGCCAGCAACACAACCTCATCAGCAAATAGGAAAGACTCCCTGTTACGCACTCGTGTTAAAGCTGCACTGGGATTGTCTTTAAAGCCAAGTAACTAGGCTGTGCAAACAGGTGACTTAAAAAATACATATAACCGTTTCTTTCTGGAGGCCCCATTCTGCCCGAGAGCAGACGGCACTGGTGACCTCGGCCATCTCAGGTTGCACGTGGAGTCACTTGGGAGGATTTCTTCTCTCGCCCTTGTCCGGGGAAGGAGCCTGAGCGGTGGGGGAGGAGTCCTGTCCGCCGCTCCCGCTCCCGCTCCCCCTCGTCCTGGCGGCGGCTGTGACTACGGGGAGCCTTGCCAAGGCCGGTGGTCCTGTGGTTTCCCAACGGTGGGGTTCGCCTCACTTTCCAACAGGGTCCCCTCATCAAGACTCTGAAACTCCTTCAAGGTGTCGGGGCTTAGCGTTAGCCATGCTCTCGGCCTGTTTGAGGCTCAGAGAGGCATGGGCTTGCCATCGTGCCCTCCTGGACAGTTAGCTGCCGCCCCTTGTGACAGGGCGGCCCCCTCCAATAATGGCGTGTGTCAACTCAGGTGAGCTCCCCTTGGAGTGGTTCCCAGGTGCCGCCAGCTCCCAGGTCCCCGACTTCAGGGGCCCAAACCTCGCCTATTTTTCACCTGGAATGGACCATATTTTAAGCCCGTCACCCTCTAAAACTCAAAATTACTTTTATTAATAATCATGAAAGGAAACACATAATAATAGCCAGAAGGGACCCTGAACAATTTTTATTAGACTTTATGCACATAACCACACAAGTAAAACTGTAGAATAAGATAAAATAAATATTGCAAAGCACAACTATTTACTCGATATTTTTATTGTACCTCACCATTTGAGCATAAATCCTTTGGTTACAGCCTGATGTTATAATATTTTATATAAGTAAATGTCCAGTGAGCAAATTTTTTTTAAAAAAGAAAATAAACATCAGCAAAAGTTACAACCTAGGCAATGACTAAATTGTACCACTGACACAGCACCTTGGTTTTTTACTTTTTCTTTAGCCTTCAAAGCACTTAAAACTCAAATTTCAATTTAAGAAATGCTGTCACATTCAGATAAGTATTTCAATATATAAAATGAAATGTTCACTCACCAAACATTTACATCTGCCAGTTTGCATTCTGTTTTATTGTCCTCAATTTGAAACACAGAAAGAGCTCCAAGGGGTCCCCTAAAATGACGCCATTGACCTAGATCAAGTTCAGGTTCCTCAGCTTTCCAGTCACCGCGCTTTCATTGTTTTTTGTGAATCCATCACTTAAAAGCAGAAATGCATCCCACCACAGAGATGAGGGTCCCGAGTGCGATGTTCGCCTCCGAAACCTCGAAATCTCATCCCTGAAACAAGCCGAGTGCCGCTGGGTCCATGGACCCTGCGACCAACTGTACGAGCGAGACCAGGGGCTCTCCAATCCGGTGCCCGTGCAGAATACGACATTCAGTAACTGATAAGTAACCAACACGTGCTCGTTGGAAGTCTACAGATGCATTATTAAACCTTAACCAGAGGCACGTCAGTTGTTTAAAGCATAGCCCAACGAAGTATTTTTTAGGTGACAAGTAGGAGGGTATTATCACTTATTGAAAGTTGCTGGTGCATGGTGATAACAAAACAGACTCACTTTTAAGTAAGTTTATTCTTGTTTTCAGTCTCTGCCTTAGGTCTCTTCCTTAGACCTCGGTTTCCCACTGAGTGGAGAGCTCATTTTCTCCATTTAGAGTGAGGGGCACACACCTGAGCGCAGTTTTTCATCAGCTCCTACGTTCTTGTTTCTTTTTTTAAACTTATTTTTAGAGAGAGGGACGGGAGGGAGAAAGAGAAGACGAGAAACATCGTGTGGTTGACTCTCACACGCCCCCTGCTGGGGTCCTGGCCCGCAACCCAGGCACGCACCCTGACTGGGTATCAAACTGGCAACTCTTTGGTTCGGAGGCTGGCACTCAACCCACTGAGCCACACCAGCCTGGGCACATTCTTGTTTCTGACACTCCTCCCCCAGCTCGGATCTTTAGCTGGTCTTAGGGTTGCAGGGATGGCGCGGGGGACAGGACTAGCTAACTAGGATGTCTTCCTAAGTCTTTCTTACGCTTGGACAGAGATTTTTGAACCCAAAAGAAAAAGTTTGCTTGTTTCACCTTGACAGTTCCCCTCCTGTGACATGATGGTGCACGTCGAGGTTTCAGGACTCATTATCAACTACTCGACCTGAAGAGAAAGCCCTTAGATAGGATGATGAGAAGAACAAGACCGAGGCACTTTGGTAGTGAAAGGGGACTCTGAATAATTATGCCGATACAGCAGGTGTAGGCTAGGTCTGTCCTGGCAAACCAGTGAAGAGATTAAAGAAAGAGAAGTGTGTACGTGTGTTCGGGGCCAGAGCAAAAATATAACAACATATCAGTCATTACCTAAAAATACTATATTGTTCCACATAAAAATTTGACATATAACACTGCTAAACACCCTCAGCCTTTTAGATACTTTTTAAAAAGATCTTATTTATTCATTTCTAGAGAGAGGGGAAGGGAAGGAGAAAGAGAGAGAGAGAAACACTGATCAGTTGCCTCCCCTACACCCCAACTGGGGTCGGATGCAACCCAGGCATGTGCCCCGACTTGGAATCCAACTGGTGACCTTTTGGTTTGAGTTAAGACACCCAACCCTGTCCGATTTGCAGCTGTCCGATTTCTCCTTGGCCCTTTCTATGCTGACAGATCTTAGCCCACAGGCCAAGGTGAGGTTTCTGCAAACCTCTGAGTATATCCAATCCCCACGCCCAGGGAGTGGGGGAAATGATTGCTCTGTGAATGAGGACCCTGTGGAGTTACAGCGAGTCAGGCGTTCGGTCAAAAGGCAGAGGTCAAACCAGGTAGACATTGGTGAGAACTCTCCCTAGGCGCAGTGCATTTTGAAAATTGTTTATCGTTTCTTTGTGCCTTCATGGTTGACATCTTACAATGTTTTGAGACTACGCATACTCCTTATTTAAACTTTGAGGGCAGAAACAAAGGAGAAAGTAACAATCATCTAAAAGTCCACCACTGAAAGTTACCGGTTTTTATCATTTTGGCGAAACATTTTTCTGGTTTTCTCCAATAATTTGTTAAGGCTTGGCCCAACAGTGGCTTTCAATGAGTTGTATTCAAATCACCTGTCGCTAAAGTCTAGCATTTGCTTTACTACTCAAAATGTATCCCAAGATTTTGTAGCCAAGTTTTCTACTGGAAATTACGGTTTCTTTTTTCCAGTTAACTTTTTATGAAAGTAGAATATTTGGGGGCTTAGGGTACGAGATCACATTATTAGTCATTTATTTTTAAGTATTTCATTACGTTATTTGTTGCATAATCCTTTACTTTGCCCGGTGATTTATGATATCGGAATTACATAGTAATTGTCACGTCGCCGACGGTCTGTTTCCTCACTTCCTGTGACGTGTGAAGACACCTGCTCATACTGTTTGACCGTTGCTGGTAGGACAGAGTCCAGCATGTGGTGCTTGAAACACTAGCCAGCCCCCTCCTTCTGTGATTCTCCTCCTGAAATCACTTTATTTTTAATTTGTAGATAAATTTGTAACTTTTTCAAATTCTTCCAAAAGTATGTGTTTTTTTTTTCATTGTAATTAATTGCTCTATCCGTTACTCTACCAAGTAACTGGAGCAGAATCAATGTTTTTAATACGATTCTTTCTACCCCCAAACATGTTAGGGATCAACATTTACATAGATATTTTATTATGCTTTCTTTAAACGCTGACAACCTTCCTCAGACTTCTTTGTTTTCTATAATCCTCACGGGGACATGCTTATTGATTTCAGAGGCAGCTCTGGCAGGGGGGAGTGGGAGAGAAAAGGGAGAGGGAGGGTAACCTCTCACGTCGGTGTGAGATTGGACGCCCTGACTGGGGACCAAACCTACAACCCAGGCATGTGCCCTGACCAGCAGTCATTCATATCTGCGACTTCTCACTTTATTGGCTGACACTCCAACCACCTGAGCCACATTGACCAGGGCTCCTCAAACTTCTCATGATGACTAATCATAGACATTTTATATATACTTATTTAGTACTGCAATGGTAAACAAGATGCACTTTTTCATTATAGCTTTTTTATTACTTCTATAGCATTATTTACTTCTTTCCCCAAATTTGCCCACATGGAGGGATGATCCCATCCCCCTCCCCTCCGTCTGGCTCTCCGACTAGCAGGCCGTTGCCGGGACCCCCTAAAACTGGGTCACTTTCATGTAGGTGTCTTCTGGTTTCCCTTTCCCTGAGCCTTTTCTCCTGGAACAAATACACAGCAAACAAACACAACGATGTAAAACAACATAGAAAAAGCGTATCCATTCCACATTCTATAGAGAAGCTAATTCTTGACGGGCCAGCCGTGATGAAAGCCATGACCACTGACTGCCCTGAGGGTCTGAGCAAACTTCATGAAGAAAAAGGTGGGGCTCCCCGGGCAGCCTGGGAAGGCAACTCTGGCAGTTCCCACTCTCTCTCACCTTCGGACACCTCGGCGTTGGCCAGAGGGATTGGGAAAAGGCCAGGAAAGCCTACCACAAGTTCGCCAAAAGTCCTTTCCAAGTCTTGGTCCTCTCGACTACCAGTATTTTTTCCTCTTTTCTCAACACTTCCACCCCCAGTGAGAACCTTGTGGTCTGCAGGTGAAGGGCAGCACTCCTTCCCCAGGGACACACTGTCACCTGTGGGAGGGGCTCCGGTCCTCCCCCTGCCTCCCTCCAATTCCTCAGGGACCAGGGCGCCCACGGACCTCCTGGAACCAGCAGTCCCAGGGAGCTCGCGATGCTCGCTGGGCCTCGGGCGGCCAGGGCCTGAGGATGAGGCTCTGGTGTTCGGAGCTGTGCATGTTTGTCAAATCTCCTGGGGTGGGACGGGTGTCACACGAGGGCACGGTCACCACTAAACCTGCTGGTGCAGGCTGGGCAAGGCTGGTCTGCGTAGCCCAGGAGTCTTGGGGGCGGGGGGGTCTGAAGTCACTATGGGAGGGATCAGGCTGCAGCCAAACCAAAGGCACTGACCACGTGGAAACGGTCTAGGTCTGTGCCCGCCTACAGGACGGCGGTCTCCTTTCTGTTTCACCTCCCTCGTCACAGACCTGTAGCACACAGCTCCACCGAGGGACACCCAGGGGGCTACTCACTCCTTCTCCACATCCTGGATAGTGTCAATCAGAGGCTGATTCTTGGTTTCAGGAAGGAAGAAGACAACAAAGCCAGGGATGAAGCTGATGACTGCATAGAGGATCCAGGGCAGGTGGGGAGAATACACGGTCAGGATCATGAAAAGGGGAGCCAGGGCTGCCCCAGTGTTACCAAGGATCCCGATGATTCCTGCAGCTGTTGCCCTGGTGTGCAAATGACAGTACAAAGATAATCTGGTTAAAATCCACCCGTGTAACTTGTCATTTCTTATCTTGCTTTGATTATGGGAGACAGCATGTCAGTGATTAGACACGTAAAGGTTGACTGCCACGTCCACTGCCGCGTCCACTGTTGGATCCCTCTCTCCGTGACAAGGTCCTGAGAGGGGGTGTAAGACTTCAAGGAAGCAGTTTCCAACCTGGTGGACGTGGCATGGAAGGCCCTGCAATACCTATTGTGCTTGTGCTTGTTTTGGGGATCATGACCCTTTTTTGCTTTAATCATTATGAATACCCTTGCAGTGATTCAGATAGTGTGCTTAGACCTTTCCCACGACTGTTCCTCACCCACAGATACAAAGGGTCTTCCAAGAAGACAAGTAAAAACTATATACACCCCTCCCCACAGCCCTGGGATATGGTCGGGACGGTTGAGATGATCTACAAGGCAGAGGCAACTGTGGCTGGATTTCCTGTCTGAGTAATAATTCCTCCTTTACCTTGAATAAGAATATATATCAACTAGACAGGCAAAGAAATAACAAAAGTTGGCTAGTTATTACAAACTAAACAGTTACTAAAGAGTCAGAGTTTATAGTACACAGAGAAACATTTTAGACAGAAAAAGATAGATAGCTAAGTTAGACATCACAAGGGCCTTATAATAAATTTCCTATTATCTCTACTCAACCTAGCATATCCTTTTGCCCTATGACAAATTCTGAGAAACTTTAATATACAATAAGATACTTCTAATTGTCTGATTAATAGCTCTCCTGGTCAAAATAATCTTTGTTTATTATAACTGAATCTATGAGAATTTTCGTACTTTTTCTGATTACCTTTGTATTGATTTTTTCTGCTTAAATGATCATGTTGTACTGCAAATGTTAATCACTACCTAAAATGAAAATATAAAAACCTGCTTGTACTTGCAATAAACGGAACAGAGCTTCACTGTCCTTTGAGGCGTGTTGTCGTCTGTTACCCAGCGCCGACGCCTACCCTCACCTGTGGGACCCCTTGACCCACTGCGGCCGGACCGCGGCAGTTGACCATATACTACCACATTTCAAATGTGCTGTCTTATTTGCTTACATTTTTTTCAGTACACAAGTGCATTAAGACATTCTCATTATTTAAAAAATACTCCTGCTCAGAGCAACAGCCCTTCCGTGGCTCAGTAGAGTAGGTGAGACAACACATTGAAGGACTTAATCCAGGGCCTGGCAAAAGTCACCTGTGAGTGAACTTTGCCTACAAATCATGCTTGTTATAATTGCTTGTTCTGATCACTACTCAGTCTTTGTTTACTTCCAGCATAAATGTTCATTAGCTGGGAAAGATCTCGTTTCACCCTCACAGAGTTTCCTACCTGATTATGGTGGGGATCAGTTCATGTCCGTGGACAAAAGAACTCATGAGCGATGCAGAAGAAAATACGACTCCCAAAGTGGACAAAGCCACGCGCAGGGTCTGCATTTCTGAAGAGGAAGACCAGTGAGACTCGGGAAGTCTGAGCTGTTGGAATCACTACCCCCCTGGATCAGTAATGAAAAAGATATCTTTGAAGACGTTTGCACGGGTTTAAACACTTCATGGAGGAACCGCCCGGAGGCGGAGACCGTACAGGGACTAACGGCTGAGAAATGCGACTTGTCTATAGCTAAGAGCTTAAACAGAAGTTACAAAATCTAAGTGATTGCATTGCTCTCCCTACATAACAGAAATTTGCCAAAGACAAAGAGGGGAATAGGAGACCAGCAGGAATTTGCTTTCATTTATTCCGTCCAGAGTCTCCTCTGCCTCTCATGTGTCACGTGGGCCTGTCGTGTGAGCAGCGCCAAGGGGTGTAGGGCTTGTTAACGTCCTCGGAGGGTTTAACACCTGGGTGCGTTCCCAGTATGGGCATGAATGTCAACAGTACTGGAACAGAGAGTAATAAAAGAAGGGGACTCATATCGGTGCATAAGCCAGAGAGTAGCTTGATCTAGAATATTTGAAGATGCAAGAATAAGGACCTGTATTAGGGAATAGAATTCGTTAGACTTTGGAGACCTCTGAAAGAAAATTTTAGAGTGTATTTTCTACCCCATTAAGAAGACATCTCCTGGGAGCGATACAATGCGGGGAGGTGGGGTGGGGTCTGTCGTAAGGCAGCAAACTTGCATCACCGTTGACATTCAAGATGAGCGAGGCCCAGTCACCTGGGAGTTAGTGAAGCCTAGTGACCCCCTGGGGCCCTATTCCTTACATGCGGTTACTTAACTTAGTAAAACTGATTCTCAGAGAGGCTTTAACTGCTTAACTCCCTGTTTCCGTTGGACACTTCCTGCTCCAAGACAAGAGATTTTTCTTCCCGTGAAGTCAAAAGGGCTTCCAGGATAGCAGTTAGTGTGACCTGATGCAAGCCACACAGGTGGGTATATAGCAATCAGGGAGTGAATTGGACCTAATAAAAAGAGCCCAGACAGAGGAAGTGAGAGGATTGTGTTGTCCCATGAGACACAATTATATACTGGACACGACACTGTTTACAACTACAAGTGTGATGGGCCAAAGAGCGAGCAATCATTTGCTCAGAGAAACAGTCAGGAGTAAATGGCACCAATTACCAGGGGCTTCTCGGATACGATGAAGACAACCTTCTAGCTGAACCGACTTTTACTGGCCTTGCACTCTTCCCCAGCCACTTCATGGCAGAATCTGTCCTAAATCATCAGGTTGCTTTTGGGAAATCATTAGAACCACATTCTCCCTTTCTGTCTGACCTCAGAGAGGCGTGAGTCCATTCCCCGAGGAAAAGGGCTAAGACATTCCCTCCATCCGGTTCTCCTCTCTCACCTTGATGCACAAGGATGAGGGCCAGAATGGAGCTCCCCAGCAGGCTCAGGAAGAGGACCTGGCTCACCCGCCGGCCCAGATGATTCAGGGCCAGAAGTGCGATGTAATTGGCTGGGAGGGAGGCTGCGCCGAAGAGCACCTGGGACAGGAAGACCTGGCCGCCCAGGTGCTGGAGGTGGAGAGTCAGGCCGAAGAAGGGGATGCAGGTTGCAAATCTGCAGTGAACGGAAGACAGACAGACGTCATCCGGTTTGGAGCCAATCTCATGGGAACGATGCTGATAGATCGTATCAGCCAGGCAGCCAGTCGTGGGCAACAAAGAATAAAGGCCCCGTCAGCTTTGTTGGACATGTCTTTGCCCAATGATGATGTTAAAACTGTGATAAAATACTGTATGGTGATAGAGGTCAGAACTGCTACTACGTTTTTCTGGAGGTTGGGGAGTGTTGATCTTAAGGACACACAGTAGGGCCTTCTAGGGTTTTAGAGTTTTTCCTATATCCTCATCTGGGAGGTGGCTGCATATTTACATGTGCAAATATTTATAGAGCTGTATTATTTGTACACTTTACTGTGTGTAGTTTTACCTCAGTTAAGACAAGTGAAGAAACTTAGAATCAGAATCTGTACCGTGACTGACGTTCTCAGCCTCTGCGTCCAGCAGCGCGATGAGCCTGACAGGGCCGAGTGATGGACGACACCCCTCGCTGCACGGTGAGGGCGCTCAGTCTCTCCCTAGCCTTTCGACTATCTCTGAACATAGCAATCATCTTCGTGGCTTCTTCATGTTTTAACTCAAATGTGCTCCTATAGCAGGCTACGGCCTTCGAGATCAACAGAACCATGTCTCCGTTGCTTTAACATCCCTCCCCCGTGCCCTGAAGCCTACCTTGTAAAGCACAGGAGACACATCCTCTTACGCAGGTTGGGCGTGCGGAACAAGTCCGACACAAGCGGTTTGGTCTGGGCCGCCTCCAGCTCGTCCTGCATGGTGGATCTCAAAACCTTCAACGACAACGGCGACCACAAACTGGTCAGTTGTCGCAGCGTGGTAGGCACTGCGAGGTCCCAAACAGAGGACAAGACAGACCACGTCCCTTCCTGTTTCTTGTTTATTAAAGCCAGTGATAATGCACTGACAGGCACAAAAGGGGCATGAAAGGCGAACTGGGGTGTTAAAGAAGCCTCAAGGAGATCGTGCAGCACCAAACACATACTAAACATGAGGTCCAAGAGGACAGCAAGACACCGGTAAGGGCGCGTGGGTCAGACCTTCCAATGAGGAAGGGAAGCAGACGCGGGTTACTTGGATTAGGGTCCAAAGCTCCATTTATGCCAGACAGGCATGAAAGACCTGGGAACTGCACCTGGGTCTCAGCTGGCTGTCCTTTGCAGAAAAACTCTTTATCTCAGAAAAGAAAGAACATTTCCTAAGAGTCTTTTTTCACCCAGTCACTCTGAGGGAAAGCCTGGCATATCATGCCCCCACAAATGACATGCCTGGAAGTAAACCTGAGGGTGAGATCTGGGGAGACCTCGGTGCAGAATGATTTATCCCCAGAGCCAGTCACGATCTGAGTAAGTCGAAGATACTACAACATGCTAGATATGTACGTTCAGGAATGAAACTAAATATTTCCAAAGCTCAATTTCCTTGTCATTAAAAAGACTAAGTAGAAGAATCAGGAGTAAGAGAAGAAGGTGGAGAAAAATAATAGCACCTCTCTCGTGAGGATTTCAGAGGCCACACATGAGGTCAAAAATGTGAATACGGGATTCGATCGAGCCTGGGGCGCAGATTTACTTATTTGTCATTCAAATAATATTGACTCGGTTCTCGTCTACAAATGAGACAATACCGGGAAGTCCACTGGAAAATCCCACGAGGAAGGGGATTTAGAGCCATGAAGGGCCACCCTAACGGAGCACCTGCACAATCAAGAATGTCCTTTCAGCTGCTCAACCGGCCTGACTAGCAAAATATTGGGTTTGTGCTTTTGGAAGAGCGGAGTGATGCAGCCTTTCCTTCCGGCGTCCAACACCGGAAACCCAGAACTATGGGCTCTTGTCATGGGTGGGTTGGAAAATGGGTTCAGAGAATATCTTTTTTTTATTGTCCACACTGTTCACATCTGTATTTCGAGTTTGGAAATGCATATTTGCAACCAGCAAAATATTTATGAAGAATGCGCAATCTGAAAATTATGAAAACATCCCTGCTCCCAATACATTTCTAGATTTGAACAACTGACTGCCATATTGTTACCTCTGTGTTGTGAGAGTTTGTTTTTAAAACAGAGAAAATGCAGTCTGTAGGTGTGAATGGTTTGAATGAGTCTTTTTTTTTTTTAAATTTCTCAGTCTTTTAGGATCTTTAAGCATGCAAAACCTCAGGGGCCAGGGTCTGCAAAGGCACTGGGGTGGTCTAATGGCACCCAGTTAAGCAGAACTGCGAGTGTCCCTAGGTCATCTGCAAGCAGGAGCAGAGGCTCTTGACTCGCCAGTCCCGCTACCGCGGTTTGCACGCCCACCACACCCATGGCCACTTCGGCTCCCCGGCTACCATATCCAGTCTCATACAACCTACCAAGGCTGAATCAGGGAGGAATAGAAATCCTAAACAACCGATAACTAATATGGAGATTGAAACAGTAATTTTAAAAATCCCAGAAAGAAATGCCTAACACCAGATGGCTTCACAGGTGAGTTTCACCAACCATTTAAAGAAAAATTAGCACTGATTCTTTGCAAACTCTTCCAAAAAATAGAAGAGAGAACACTTCCAAACTCATTTTAGGACAGCATAACCCTGATAACACGTCAGACAGAGGCTATAAGAAAAGAACATAGATGAAGAAGGTCATTAACAAGATTTAGCAAACCAAGTTCCACAGCATATTCAAAGGTGGGATTTATTCCTGGGATGCAAGGATGGTTCAACATAAACAAATCAATAAATATGATACATGACATTAACAGAATGAAGGCTAAAAATCACACAATCATCTCAATAGATGCAGAAAAACCATTTGATAAAATTCAATACACCTCCATGATGAAAATTCTCAACCAATTAGGTATAGAAGGGACTCACCTTAAATGTCACGTATGAAAAGCCCACATTATACTCAATGGTGAAAACCTGAAAGCTTTGCCTCTAACGTCTGGAACTGCACAGGACCTGCTTCAACTCAGCATAGGACTGGAAGTACTAGCCAGAGCGAGCAGGTAAGAAAAAGAAAAAAAATCAGGAAGAAAGAAGTGAAATTATCACTGTTTGCAGGCAACATGGTCTTACATATAGAAAACCCTAAAGACGCTTCCAAAAATTGTTATAACTAACAAATGAATTTCATAAGGTCACAGGATACAAAATTAACATATAAAAATTGGTTGGCTTTTTTTTTAAGATTTTATTTATTTATCTTTAGAGGGGAAGGGAAGGAGAGAGGGGGAGAAAAACATCAATGTATGGTTGCCTTTCATGTGTCCCCTGCAGGGAACTGGCCTGCAACCCCAGTATGTGCCCTGACTGGGAATCAAACTGAGATTGTCTGGTTTGCAGGCCCACGCTCAATCCACTGAGCTACACCAGCCAGGGCTGGCTGGCATTTTTATACACCAGCAACTAACTCCCAGAAAAATGAAATTAAGAAAAAAATTTTTATTTATAATAATATAAAAAATAATAACCTATTTAGGAATAAGTGTAACCAAAGAGGTGAAAAACTTGTATACTGAAACTATAAACACTGAAGAAAGAAATTAAACCAGACATAAAAAAAATAGAAAGACATCCCACATTCATGAATTGAAAGACTTAGTATCGTTAAAATGTTCATTTATCCAAATGACCTCCAAATCCAATACAATCCTTATCAAAATCCTAAGGGCATTCTATACAGATACAGAAAAAAATAATCCTAAGATTCTTAGGGAAACACAGAGCACCCCTAACAGTCAGAGCATCTTTTCAGCAAAAAAAAAAAAAAAAAAAGGCTGGAGGCATCATATATTCTGATTTCAAAATATATTACAAAGCCATAGTGACCGAGAACATGGTTCTGGCATAAAAACAAACACAGAGACCAACAGAACAGAACAGAGAGTCCAGCAATAAACCCACACAAATACAGTTCATTTATCTCTGACGATCATGCCAAGAATTTACAACAGAGACAGAGCAATGTCATCAATAAATGGTGTTGGGAAAACTGGATAGTCACAGGCCATAGAATGAAATTGGAGACTTACACTGTACACCAAAGTCAACTCAAAGTGAGTTAAAAACTAAAATGTAAGACCTGAGACTACAAAATTCCCCAATAACACATAGGAGGAAACTTCCTGATGTGGGTCTTGGCAGTGGTTCCTCGGATGGGACACCAGAAGCACCGCAACACGCAAAGACGGACGAGCCAGACAGCACTGAACCACAAAGCTTCTGCGCAGCTGGGAACCAGCTAACAAAGGGAGAGTGCTCCTGCGGAGCAGGAGACAATATTTACAAACCATACGCACGACAAAGGGTTAATACCAGAATGTGTAGGGAACGCCTACAACTCAAGAGCAAAAAGCCAAATAACCCAGTTAAAAAACAGGCATCCGAAGAACAAAGAACAGAGCAGACATTTCTCCAAACCCTCTGTGCAAACTGCACTGGAGCGTGATCAAGTGTTCGTTGTCAGCGATTGTAGAGAAACACAAATCCAAACCACAATGAGTTTATCACTTCACACCAGTGAGGATGGCTGTTAATGAAAAAGTAAAAAAAAGTAAGTGCTGCCGAGGGCGTGGAGAACAGGATGCCCTGTGCACTGTTGGCGGGAATGTGGAATGATGCGGCCACTGTGGAGACAGTGTGGAAGTTCCTCAGAAAGTTACAATTGGAGCGACCGTATGACCCCACAATCTCTCATCGGGGTGTGTATCCAGAAGAATGGTAACAGATATTCGCACACACGTGTTCCTCCTAGAACTATTCACAAAAGCTAAACCATGGAAACAAGCTAAATTCCCAGCAATGGATTTTTTTAAAGTGTGGTATATACATACAGTAGGCTATTATTCATTAATAATAATAAAGGAAATTCTGCCATTTGCTGCACCATAGATAAATCTTGAGGACATTTTGCTGAGTGAAATCTACACAATCTGTACAATTGTAAACACTAGGCGGTGTGTGCCTCTGTTGAGTAAACTCTCCGCGCCCAATCCTTGCAGCAACGGCACAGTCTCCCTCAGTGTGAACCTGAACAATGTTGACAGGCACTGGGAACCAGGGGAGCTGGGTAAAATGACCGGCACTCCACCCCTCGTTCATCTGACGGACGCCATCCAGTGTGGATGTCAGTCAGGCCAGGTCCTCCCTGCACCCCACACGCAGCTCCGTCCGCCTCACCTCCATGGTGAGGGCGTCTCCGACATCCTTCTTTCCATTCAGGTAGGCGACTTTCCTGAGCTCCTTCAAGCCCTCCTCGGGTTTGTTGGTGATAATCAGCCACCGAGCAGACTCCACCATCCACCTGATCGAAGACGAAGACACAAGCGCTACAAAGTTTCACTTGCCCATTGTCACACACCCTTTGTCCTGAGACGCCTCCCCCCACCCCTCTCATACCTGTTTTGTTATCCCAGAAAACAGGACTGAAGTTCTCCTGTACCTTAACTAGGAAACTGTGAGGATAACCTCTCCACATCGTACACCCTCACAGCTGGCATGCAGAGTAGCAGTCCTGCTGGCCAACCTCGCATTCGAGAGAATGTTGCCAGTTGTAGCAAGTAAAAACAGTGTGTCTAGGTAGCTTTGAATTCAGTCAGACTGTGATATGAGTCATCTTTGAATGTAACTACGTCCCAGGCAATATTTTGGACATACACGAGGAAGCATTTGTTATCTCTTTGAGATTTGACTTTAAGTACACACCCTTTATTTTATTGGGTCAGTAAATAAAAATACAGACCTCCCAGATAAATAGAAATTTTATATAAACAATGAATAATTTTTAGAGTAACTGTGCACCATACAATATTTGGAATGTTATACAAAAAGACGGCGTTTATCTGAAATCCAGCTTTAACTGAGTGGCCTTGATCCTCTCTGGCAGCCCTGCCCCTTCATTCCTGAATCGTACAAAGGACACACGTTAGCAGGCACGTGATCAAGTGTTGACTAAGCACCTAACAGAAGTCCGTGTCCTTGTTCCAGCCACCTGCATCCCAGGATCCTCAACACGAAGAAAGAAAGACGGCTGATACCTTGAGAGAAGAAACAAGATCAGCAACGGTACAGAATACACCAGCTGAAGGATGTGCCAGTCTCGAATGACAAAAGCCAGGCCTCCCAGAAGCATCTGTCCCGACACAAACAGCACAGATTGTCACCAACATTCCCATGGCTTGGAGTCGGGGCAGTATCCATTCCATAACTGAAAGAAAACACGAACGGGATGGTGACTTCAAACAAAGTTGGAATTTCAAAGTCAAAATTGGGACTTGGAAAATGCCAGAGATCCCAAGTTTTTACTTACTAAGCACCGAACTGTTTGTCATGATGCTCATGGCAGAAAAGCCGGCCAAGAAGCGCAGTGAGCAGTAAAGGAGGAACGTGGGGGCAAAGGCCATGCAGTTCCCGGCGATGGCGAGCACCAGTAAGCACCACCTGAAAGTTAACCTCCTCCCAAACCTGAGAAACAAGAACAGGTTCGACATGGGAATACTGACAAGCTGTTGTAGAAAGTATCCAAAAGAAGTCCTACTTAGTAAAACTCGGTACTTGAAACCATAAAGAATCAACACTAGATTTCAGAAGCAGCCCTCCTGTTTGTAAATAGATATGAGTATAACAAAGCTGCTTCTCCCACGTGTTACCAGTAGAACTTTGAGATCAACTGAAACCATATAAGACAGCCTGCAATTTGTAGTCCCTTTTACTCATGGTTTTGTTTTCCATGGTTTCCATTATCCACAGTCGACCGCAATTCAAAAATATCACATGGTTACATAGCAATCTTGAGAAAGAAGAACAGTGCTGGAGGAATCACATTACCAGATATCAAACTATACTGCAAGGCTATAGTAATCAAAACAGCATGGTACTGGCAGGAAAAACAGACATATAGGTCAATGGAACAGAATAGAGAGCACAGGAGTAAACCACGCCTCTACGGTCAGTTAATATTTGACAAAGGATGCAAGAACTTACCATGGAATAATGAGCCCAATGGAATAGGGCTCCCAGTACTATGTTGAGTAAGAGTGGTGAAAGCAGACATCCCTGTGTTGCTCCTAATATTAAGGAAAATGCTTCTAGTTTGTGGGCATTGAGTATGATATTGACTGTGGGTTTGTCATGCATGGCCTTTATGATGTTGAGGGAAGTTCCCTCTATTCCCACTTTGCTGAGATTTTTATCATAAGTGGGTGCTGGATTTTATCGAACACTTTTTTGCATCTATTGACATGATCATATGTTTTTTATCCTTCATTTTGTTTCTGTGGTGTATCACATTAATTCATTTGAGTGTATTGTACCAACCTTGCAGCCCCAGATTAAATCCCACTTGATCATTCTGAATGATCTTTTTAATGTTTTAATTTGAAAATATTTTGCATCTATGTTCATCAGGGATATTGGCCTATAATTTTCTTTCTTTGTAGTGTCTTTATCTGGTTTTGGAGTTAGAATAATGCTGGCCTCATAAAATGAGTTTGGGAGCCTTCCCTCCTCTTGAATTTTTTGGAATAGTTTGAGAGATATAAGTGTTTGTTCTTTGAATGTTGGCAAAATTCACCCGTAAAGCCATCAGTCCAGAAGTTTAATTTGTTGGGTGTTGGGAACCGACCAACATCCATCCCTTGACACAGTTGGGACAGATGAGATGCATCTGCACAGCAGAGGCAGCTATGGCTAGATTTCCTGTCTACCTCTCCCTGCATGTTTGTCTTTGCAATTAATAGGTGGTGGGATTTTTAGACACCTGCATTTCAGGGTCAATGATTCGCATGATTCCAATAAAGTTGTACAAAATGATTTCTTGGCCACAAAACAAAGATCCCCCTAATGGGGTAGACCCTGAATGTCTAAAAGTTGATGGAGTAACAGCCCCTCCTCTACCTTGGACAGGAATATATATTAATTAGAATTAGGTAAAGAAGCAGAAGCTGGTTAACTATTACAAACGAAGCATGTAGAAACAATTACCAAGGAGTTAGAGTTCATAGTACATAAAGAAATATTTTATACAAAAAGATAGATAGCTAAGTTAGATACCACAAAGGCCTTGTAGTAAATTTTCTATAACCACTGTTCAGTCTAGTGTATCCTTTTGCCTCATGCCAAATTCTAAGAACTTTAATAAACAATAATACATTTAAAACTCTGTCCTTACAGCTGTTTGTAATTGTCTGATTAATAGCTCTTCTGGTCAAAATAACCTTTGTTTAATATAAGTGAATCTATGGAATTTCCTGTACTTTTCCTGGTTACCTCTGTATTGATTTTTTCTGCTTAACTGATCACACCATGTACCTGTTCCTTTAATGTTATGCAACAATCTCTATAAAAATAAAGCCTAAATCAAACTCTAAGAGTTTGGTCAGACCCACAGAAGCTGGCTGTTCTCTGGCATCCAATCCAGTGTCCGACTCTTCATTCGTTGCCTGTGCTGTCCATCCTTTGGGGACCCTAAGACCTGCCGAGGCTGGACCCCAGCAGTTGGGAGTTTTTTTTATTACTGCTTTGATTTCATTAGTTATAATCTATATATTCCAATTTTCTGATTCTTCCTGACTCAGTTTTGGAAGATTTTGTGTTTCTAGGAATTTATCCATTTTATCCAGACTGTCCAATTTGTTGGCATATATGGTTGTTCACAGTATTTTCTCACAACCCTTTGTATTTCTGTGATGTCAGTTGTTGCTTCTCCCCTTTCATTTCTGATTTTATTTATTTGGATCCCTTTTCTTTTTTTCTGGTTAAAGGTTTGTCAATCTTACTTATCTTTTCGAAGAAACAGCTCTTGGTTTCATTGATCTTTTATATTGTTTTTTAGTCTCTATACCATTTATCTCCTCTCTAATCCTTATTATTTCCTTCATTCTATGTTCTTTGAGCTTTTTTGTTGTTCTTTCTCTAGTTCCTTTAGGTGTAAGGTTAGATTATTTATTTGAGATTCTCCTTGCTTCTTTTTTAAAAATTAAATCTATTAGGTGACATGGGTTAAAATTTCCCTCTTGGGACTGCTTTGCTGTGTCCCATAGATTTGGGGTTGTCGTGTGTTCATTTTCATTTGTCTCTAGGTAATTTTATTTCTTCCTTGATCACACTATTGACCCATTCAGTGTTTAATAACATTCTTTAGCCTTCATGTGTCTGTATGTTTTTTTGGTTTTTCTTCTTATAATTGATTTGTAATTTCATGCGATTGTGATCAGAGAAGATGCTTAATATGATTTCAATCTTGAATTTATTAAGACTTGTTTTGCATCCTAACATGTGGTCTATCCTAGAGAATGTTCCATGTGCACTTGAGAAGAATGTGTATTCTGCTGCTTTGGGTGAGATGCTCTGAAAATATCAATTAAGTCCATCTGGTCTAGTGTGTGCTTTAAGGCCACTGTTTCCTTGTGGATTTTTTGTCTGGAAGATCTATCCATTGATGTGGGGTATTAAAACCCCCTACCATGACTGTATTACTGTGGATCTCTCCCTTTGTGTCCATCAAGATTTGCTTTATACACTTAGGAGCCTATGTTTGTGCATGGATGCTTCCTAGGATTCTATCCTCTTGTTGGATCATTCCCTTTGTCATTATGTAGTATCTTTCTTTGTTGCTTGTTATGGCTTTTGATTTGAGGTCTATTTTTTCTGATGGGAGTATTGCTACACCAGTTTTTCTTTCATTTCCATTTGCATGAAATATATTTTTCTATTCCTTTACTTTCAGCCTGTGTTTACCTTCTGTTCTGAGATGGGTCTCTTGCAGATAGCACAGATGTGGGTCTTGTTTTTTTATCCATTCTTATCCTATGTCTTTTTGAGTACAGCATTTAATCCATTTACATTTAAAGTAATTATTGATAGGTACTTATTTATTGCCATTTTGTTCTTTTTTGTTGTTGTTGTTTAAAAGATTTTATTTACTTTTTAGAGAGAGGAAAAGGGAAGGAGAAAGAGAAATAGAGAAACATCAGTCTCTCTTGCATGCCCACAACAGGGGATCTGGCCTGCAACCCAGACCTATACCCTGACCAGAAATTGAACCAGTGACCTTTCAATTTGCAAGCCAGCACTCAACCCACTGATTCACATCAGCCAGGGCTGCCATTTTATTCTTTGTACCTATGTTTCTTTCTCTTTTTTTTTTCCCATCTTCTTCAAGAAGACCCTTTAACATTTCTTGAAATGCTGGTTTGGTGGTAATGAACTTCTTTAGTTATTTTGTTTGGGAGGTTCTTTATTTCACCTTCAATTTTCAACAATAGCCTTGCTGGATAGAGTGGTCTTGGCTGTCGATCCTTCCTTTTCATCTCTTTGAATCTTTCAATGCCAATGTCTTCTGGACTGAAGTAGTTCTGTTGAGAAATCAGCTGACAGCCTTATGGGAGCTCCCTTGTAGTTAACTAATTGTTTTTCTCATGTTGCTCTTAATTTAAGATTCTCTCTTTATGTTCAGCCTTTCCCATTTTAATTATAACGTGTCCGCTTTGGTGACTCTGAACATTTAGTTACATTTACTGTCATACATTCAGAATTCATGGTTTTCAGAGAATAACAGAAGACAATATGCTAGTAGATGGTGAGAGGCACCTTGATTCTCCATATCTTTCAGAGGAGACATGCTTGGGTGGTGACAATGGTTAGCTACCTTATTCAGAAGTTGTACTGTTAAGCACAGGATACTGCCATTCTAACCCCACAAATGGTGACAGCAATTGTCATTAAATTATCTTCCATGGCTGAAAGGCTTATCTTTAAAAGCTGAGGGTTTGTTTTTTTTTCCAAAAACAAAAATCAAGGTTACTAGAACAATGGTGGACTTTTTATCCACCACCAAGACAAAAATCACTATACGCACAACACGGGCTTGATAGGAATGTCTACTCATCACATGTGAGAAACAACGACACGATTTTTATGCTCTGGAGATCCAGACCCAGGAGCGTCTGGGCATGGCCTGCAACATGATTTTCCATATTCGTGTCTTCAAACAGGCTGAACCCCATGCTGTGACACATGTTCCTCTCTGTCCCCATGGGTAACTGCTCTGCCTCATCTTTCTAAACCACATGTTGCAGCGTCTCCTCTCTAAACCCTGTCCTGAAATGTTACCATGTCCAGAGGTTGTTCCTGTGTCCTGCATGCAGCACCCACAGCAGGCAGAACAGCACTCACCACCCCGACTGTAATTCTTCGTTTGGGTTCCCAGATCCCCCAGAACAGTTTCACAATCCATGTTTCTTAATGCCAGGACGATTCATGAGTTCATGAAAACACCCCAGAGGAAAGAGAGCTGTGGTCCGGAGACACTCACCTGTCTGACAAATGGCCCAAAATGATGCCTCCCACCAGCGCTCCAACCATGAATGAGAATTTGGACACTGAGTTCAGTGACTCGGAGTCGCACACCAGGTCCCACTGGAAGGGAAGGAAAGCGTCACAGCTCAGCCTCACGGCAGCTCACTGCCCCTCAGCAGAGATGTCACTGAAGCAGCTTCAATGACTTACATGTTTCTTTTTGTCAGGAAGCTTCCTCCTCTCCAGCTGCTGCTGCTGCTGCTGCTACTGCTTCTTGTCCTTCTTCTTTGCATTAGCTGACCTTTATTATTCAGATCTCAGCTGAAACCTAACTTCCTCTGGTAAGCTTCCTCTAAACCTATGGGTTCTACAGATGCTGTGTTTTATTTCATACTTAGTGGTTCTCAATCTTAGCCACAGAGGGCAACCACTGGAGAAGCTGTAAAATGTACTGATGCCAGAATTTCGTCACAGGTGTCCTCACGTGGCTGCTCTGAGATGCAGTCTGGGCCTGGGCGGGTTCATCACCTTCCCAGATGCTTGTCTTTTCAGGTCAGGCTGAGCCTGCCTGACCTTGCATAACAGGTGAAACACATTAGGCAAATTGATGGCTTCCCCTTTAGCCTTCCAAAAAATAAAAGCTATCTAACAGCAAGACCACATCTATTTTTTAGTTCATGAAACTCGAATACGTAGGAGTCTGACCTTGAATGAAGTAGTTAATAATTGCTGAAGCAATCAAGAATGGGCACCTATGTGATGACTGAGGTCGTCACCTGTGTCACCCCTCCACTCCCACACCGCAGACTCGCGGCAGGTAAAGAGGCCTCTTACCTCCATCACGATGGTGGAGGAGAAGGCGCTCCGGTCGTACACCCAGCCATCCACACAGGGCTCCGTGGCTGGCTCGCTCATGTTGGACAAGGTCCCATTCAGGTGAAGGAGCTGCCACTGCGGGTGGAGGAAGCGGCGACACTTCTCTGGCTTCAGGTCTGAGTCCAGCGGGACGGAGACTCTCAGGAGGGCGTCTTGCCCGAGGGTCCCAGTGCCATTAGCAGAGACCGTGCCGTTGTCCACGATGTGGACCCAGCAGCGGTGGCCGGGAACGGCCGCGGTGAAGTTCTCCAACAGAATGTGAGGGTACGCAAAGAAGCAGGAGATGCCGATGAAAGCCATCTGCAGGGTCTGAAACCGGCCCAGGCCCCCGACTTGCTCCAGGAGTTTGTGAAAGGCCATGGAGGGCACTTGGGCGAGCCCCGGTGACTGCAGCTGGAAAAGTCCAAAGAGGACACCGGTCTCCTTCCAGCGCGTGGAAGTGTGTGTTAAGGACCACACTCCCTCCTCAACAGGTCCTGCCTCCTCCCCCAGACCGCTGGACCCCAGGAACCGCTTCTCCCAGTTATTTGGGGGTCAAGCAGGCAGCCGTCTTCCTGAAAGCTGGAGAGAGCTGTTTGGCTGCGAGGTGACCAGCAGAGGCCAGGAGCCCTGTTTAAAGGTCTCCTTGGTGAAAGCTGGTCTCATCTGCGGCCTGCCACCTCGCTGGACTCTGAACCTCTCACCTGTGAGTAAACGAAGCCTGGCTGTGGTCTGCAGACCTTGTCCCGTGTCATCGATGAGGCTTGAAATGAGAAGCGCTTGGTTTTTTTCTGCGAAAAATACTGACAGCAAGTGCCCTGCTTGAATTTTGATTAAAAGAGTTCATGAAAACCATCCTGAGTTCAATTAAAGCAAGTGAAACACGGTGCAATTCTCCCCTTGGGGGTCAAGGCCGTTCTGCTTCAAGTCAAATCCAAGCCAGAAGTCACTGGGAAAAGGAGTTTCCCGGCCTGGGGGCGGAGTAGGCAGTGATGGGGGGTCGCTCCCTACGGTCCGCTCTCTGAGAGGTTTGTTTTTACAAGCTATTGACTCATTCAGATGACGCTTGCAAGCAGGTTTTGTCCCAGGACGCCCACAGTGTGTGAGACAAGGCCTCTTTTAAGGGTCTTCCAAGGCAGTGAGGAAGGGAGGGGTGAGTGAACAGCGACGCTCTGAGATCATGAAGCACGGCGAATGCACATGGGCTCTGGAGGAATCAAAGGGAGAAGAAAGATGGGGGAGCGTCACCTTCCTCAGTACGAAATCTTCCACTCAAAACTCTTTTTAAGTCCTATTGACGTAATCCACTCTTTAAAATGTACAGCCCTGGGGATGTGAGTCCTTCGGACTTGTTCAAACATCCCCCCCTCTCTCATTCCAGAATATGTGCATTGCCACAAAAAAGAAACACCAGCCCCTGCTCCTGTAGCTCAGTGCATTGAGCGTGGGCTGAGAACCAAAGGGTTGCCGGTTTGATTCCCAGTCAGAGCACGTGGCTGGGTTGCTGGCCAGGTCCCCAGTGGGATCCACGTGAGAGGCAACCACACATTGATGTTTCTCTCCCTCTTTCTTCCTCTGTTCCCCTCTTTAAAAATAAATGAATAAAATCTTTTTTAAAAAAGAAATTAAGTCTTTAAAAAACCCACACCATTGGCATGAACATTCCATCCCACTCATCTCCACCCTCACCTCCGGCGGGTGATGGTGCATGTCTCTGCCTGTGTGCACTTGTCTTCCCTTAAAGGACACAAGTCTCCTTAGAACCTTTCCAGTGATTTTGATTTGGCATTGGCCTTCCTCTTGGAAAACGCGCAGTGAATACTCTGTCCCAGGTTCTCACTCTATTTTCTCTCTGCATTTCCACGGGGAGTTTTCTGTTCACCAATTTTCGGGCACACTGACTGTCAGCCACGTCTGGAGGCATTCGTGTCTGTTGGAGAGGTTCTCATTTCTAGCATTTCCACTTGGTCCCTTTGTAGTGTTTCCACTTCTCTGCTTATATTACTTTCTGTTCTAGCATATTGTCCACTTTCCCTAGTAAGGCCCTTTGCACATTAATCACGGCTACTTTAAATTCCCGGTCTGATCATCCAGACTCCATGACACGTCTGAGGCTGCCTCTAATGTTTGCTTTGCCTCTGGGGCATTGGGTAATCGGACTGAGGTGCCCAGGTGTTGAGCGTGCGGTTTAATGTTTATCTAGTTAGAAGATAGGCCGGGTCGAATGTTTCCCGTATCTGTCTGTACGTGTCAGAGGATTCAGTTTCCTCTTGTGCACTTTTTTACTGCTCCTCTATTCTCTTGGATCTTCTTATGTAAAATCTCTGGAGACTCCTTGTATGGAACCTGTGGCCTGCAGCTCTCTGTCCCTTGTCATTTACTATAATTGTCCCAGAGCCCTGTTGATGTGATGGTTGGGTCCTGGGAAAGAAAAACCTTCTATAATATTATAAATAATTTTTTTCTTTGTGGTAGGCCAGAGTCCCTGTACTGTGATCTTCAGATGAGGTTTATTTTCTCTGTCTGTCTGTCTCTCTTCTTTCATGTGAGACAGAAAAGCTAGAGGGGATGCCCTTTCTCCATGTCCAGTAAGACTTCAGTAACGTATTTCTCTTGAGGCCTGGCCTTCCTCACAGAGAAGAGAGCCAAGAGCAGATATTCTAGCTCTGGATATATTTCAAAATCATTAGATTTGCTTCTCTGTCTGTTGAAGCAAGAACACGTTTTTCTTTGACCTCCACAGCAAGAACCTGGTGGGGCTCCACAAATGTGTGGGGGCCTCGCTCCCCCAGAGCTTTTAATCCACAAACTAGACACCACTGAGCCTCTGGGAATTCTGTAATGACAGTCAAAGTGATCCTCCCAGCACTGGCTCCAGCAGCAAGCTTCTGCTCCCAGGAAACTGAGGCAGTGGGTGCCCTTGACCTCGATTCTTCGGTGGAACTAAGAATTGTTGTTTCTCAGTTCACGTAGTTTTTCTTTCTTTGTGCGAGGACACAAACATCTTCCACGCTCTTTACGAGTTAGAGCAGAAACCTCAAGTCTGTCCTTCTAATTTTGCTAGCCTGAGGTCCCGGGTGTGGTGAAGAGCCAACACGTATAAAGTTCAGAGTAGACAGCTGCTATGTATTCTGGTCAATAAAACAAATAGTAGATCTGGCAATTTTGCTGTTTATCTGGAGTAAATGCTATTGATTGGTCGGTGGCATTAAAATAGCCCTGGCTTTATTTGCACTACTTAGACCAAACATTTCTACAAAGAAAAAGAATTTACTGGAGCAATAAATATTTACAAAGAAGCTTTTACATATGATTTACATCTGTACTGTATGTACTTGAGATGCCAAACACATAATTCATGAATCGGTAATGTTAGATTATTCATTATTGCCTCTAAAAACATCTCATACAATATAAGCTGTCAGATGCTTGTAATAGCATTTATATGGAAGTTATATACAGAAATAATCTAGTTTTTTTGTGTGCAAGTACATAATTTAAAGACATTTAATAGATGATTGAGAAAATAATCTCAGCCACTAGAAACTGATATATAGTATCAGTTTGTAGAACTTTAAATGCTTGTTTTTAAGAACTCATCCAGAATACATATCATTCTCCACAAAGAAAACTAGAAAAATTCTGAATGGTCATAACGGATCATACCGCATAACTTAGAATGAGACTACATTACTTATTCGAAGTTCTCCCCTGCTTTTCTCACTCCTTTGGCACCACTAATCTGTGCACTAGGGATTATGTTCTGTTCAGCTGCATTTATGGGACAAGATGTCATTGCTAGCAGTGGCCCCAATTTCCCTTAATTGGTGACAGCACTTGACTTTGAGCAACCGTCATATTTTTGAAAGGGCAAGAGTTTGTTGAGCAAAATGTTTTGGGGTATAGTTTTTTCCTTCCTTGCTTACCAATGACCAGTCACAACATCTACAAAAGGCTTCAGTCTCTATGTGGGACGGTCTTTCATCTCAACTACCTGCACCGTAGTCAGAGGTTCTTCCGTCCACGTCATTTCTAATCTGATTGGAAGAAGTAGAAAAGTTATAGAAAGTCGTTTCTGTTTTTTCCATTGGATTCTGCTTTTTGAGCAAGTAGAAGGGTGAGCATAGGCAAAATAATTCTTAGTTCCGGATACAGGGCCCTGGGTAGGCAGTTATGTGAGAAATAGTGCCTGTTAGCCTGTAAAAGGAGCTGGAGGAGGGGTGGGGGCGGTGATCGGGGGATAAATGGTGATGGGAGGAGACTTGACTTGGGGTGGTGAACACACAATACAGTGTACTGATGTTGTGTTGTGGAATTGTGCACACCTGAAACCTGTATAGTTTTATTAACCAGTGTCACCCCAATAAATTCAATAAAAAGAAAATAAACAACCTATAAAAGGTGGGGCATTCTAAGTTACCTGTGATTAAGACTGTAACAGCTAAACTACAAGAGGTTATGTTGTCCACAGCGTGGACCTTTTGGACATTTGACAGAAGACAACCTGGAGGTTATTGGTGGACAGGCATGTTTAACTGGAAAGCTGTCACTGCATTCAAATGCTGAAAATATATTTTAAAAAGTGCATTAAGTTCAGAGAAATACGGAGCTTAAGTTTTCTGTCTAGACAGACATTGTGGACAGAGGAGTTGGCAGCTGAGGATTCTAAATCGAATTCTTTGAATATCATTTTCACGGTAAGATGTACTTATGACATGCATTTTCTAACAGTAATTTAAAAACCACCAAGTCTATGAGATTATACTCTTGGGTTTTGAGGAAATAGCCATATCGGATAGCCAGTATAACCTAATTACACTGGTGAGATTTAAGACAGAGAAGTTGACAAACTTCTAGACAAAGAACATTAAATCGTTTGTCAAAAGAGTTATTGGACACTGGTCCCAAGATGGAATGTATAATGTGGTATTGTGATCTTATGGAACAAGTTTGGGGATGGGATTAAAATTTCTTCAAGACCAAGAAAGGTCATTTTAAAAAATATTTTATTTATTTATTTTTAGAGAGAAGAGAAGGGAGAAAGAGAGGGAGAGAAACATCAGTGTGTGGCTGCCTCCCACATGCACCCCACTGGGGACCCAGCCCACAACTCAGGCATATGTCCTGGCTGGGAATCGAACAGGCAACCCTTTGGTTCACAGGCAGCACTCAATCCACTGAGCCATACCAACCAGGGCTATAAATCTTTATTAAATCAACATGAATAAATATTTTAATAGAAAAATAAGCAAAGGTAAAAACAATTTCAGGACAAACTTCACACTACTAATAAATTTATGAATATCTGTACAAACTCACTAGAAGTCATAGACATACAAACTAAAAGGAAATATCAACCTTCATTTGCTACAAGATTTTTAAAAAATTTTAATATTAAATCTCAATTTTAGTGAGTGTGCAAGAAAATAAAAACTAAAACAGTGACACTGGAAACATAAAATACATCATAGATCATGCCACAGTTTAACATCGGTGTCAAGAGCTTCACAACAACCTTTCACGGAGTTAACTGTTCATTCAACACAACTAAGCTTCTCTAGTCATAGCGCCAGGCACGCCCACCATAAATATAAAATGAAGAAAAAGAGCATAAACAGACGCATCCTGAATGAATCTTACTTCATAGAGATTCATTTTCGCACCTCTACATAAAAATGCTATCACATTTTTATTCCAACAGGTCAAAGTAATTTTAACTTAAGTAAACATTTCCTTCTAGTCAGCAGGAAATTGCACGTCAGTAAATTTTGGGGAGGGGGGCTTGTTCCCATAAACTCTTCACCCCAGAACTGCTTAGATTCCATGGGCATGGGCAGAGCCAGAGAGATAAGGTGGGAAAAATAAAGGCTGCCACCTG